GTCAGACTTCCATACAGCTTGATTTCCTGGCAGTTCTGGTTGTTTTTTGTTTTTATATTTGTCATTGTCCTTCTTTTGGTTGTGCGAGGAGGCAAAGTATAGCTACCTCAGCCACCCTCTTGGCCAGAAGTCAGAAAAACCTAAAGATTTAATTTATTTAACTTTAGATAGAGGGGAAGGGAGGGAGAAAGAGAAGAGAAACGTCGGTGTGGGGTTGCCTCTCACATGCCCCCTACTGGGGACGTGGTCTGCAATCCAGGCAAGTGTCCTGACTGGGAATCAAACCAGTGACCCTTTGGTTTGCAGGCTGGCACTCATTCCACTGAGCCACACCAGCCAGGGCATAACATTTTTTAAAGCACCTATAGCATATACCATATCTGGCTAAGAGCCAGATAAATAAGTGGTAAGCAAAACAAATGTGATACCGTATTTTGCCATGTATAATGCACACCCACATTTTGTGCACGTTATAAACAGGAATATTATACCCCTTATTATACACATGGTATGTAATCATTATGCCAATGTATAGTGTGCATCCTTATTTTTCCCTCAAAAATTTGGGCAAAAATTGGCACAGAAAAATATGGCAATCTCTGCCTTGTGGTCTTTATTGTCCTGTAAAGGAGAGAGACACGTATATAAAATAAATATATAAATGATATATAGGTGCTGTGATGAAAGCAAACATGGTATTAGGAGAAGGAACAATAAGAGGTAGGACAGTGTACTGGAAGGGCTGGAGCAGAGCTAAAGAAAGGCTCTGAGTAATCTTCCTTTTAGTGAGCATTATTACTGGTGAGTCAGAATAGCACATTCAAATTACATTTAGAAGTTGTTAATGTGCTAAAGCAATGAGTCATAATATTTATCCAAGCCATATTTTAGATAAAAGAGTCACCTACCAGCAGAGTTATGATATGCGATCCAGAAGTCCAGTTAAATATGAAAATTGTGTCTCTTCAGTGTCTTCATTCTCCAGCTTGTAGCTAGCCAAGTCAGCAGATCTGGTAATCTCCTCAGTGCATTCAAGGTGGGTCATTCTTTATCATCTGGACCTGCCCCATTTCCCCAGATCACTGACTCATTTCTGCTGAGCCATGAATCACTGCTATTCTATAACCATCCTGAGAATTTGGCATTCTAAAACAGGCAGCTGGGCCAGGGCATTTCTATGAAAGCATTCCCTAACATGGGTAGATGTTTGAAGAGAGTGTGTTTTCCTCCTTCCTCTCAAAAGTCTTCAGGGTAGCTGGGTCAATTTTAGTACTTTTCGGAAGGCAGCCTCCCTGGCGCGTTATTTCCGAGTGGATCATTAAAGTCAGAATGGTGGTTACTGATTGTCCTCTGGGGTTGGGTGCAGCCATCCTGGCCGTCAGAGTAAGGACAAAACTCTTCTGACAGAGAGTGTGGGCATTCTAATTATTCCACTTACCGCCTTCTGACTGCCCAGCTGCTGGTAGATGTTTCCACTCTTATTTTGGTAAGAGAAACATTATCTAAAGAAATGAGATAGTCATATAATATTTATATAAAGGAAGGTATTTATTGTTTTGAAATATTCATATTTGCTTTATCAAATTAATACAGGCACATAGCATAAGAAGTCGAACATTAAAGAACAGAGCACTTTCAACTCTTTTTTGCAGTATTCTATTTATTTATCTTTATATTTCTAAATAATATGCCAGTGGTTCTCAAACTTTTCATTCTCAAGATCCCTTTACAGCCTTAAAAGTTATTGAGACTCGAAAGAGAAAGGTTTTATCTATGTGGGTTATATCTATAATTACCATATTAGAAATTAAAACAAATGTTTTACTTATTTACTTTTCCATTTTTAAATAATAATAGTAAACATGCTAACAACTATTTTAAAAATTGTATTTTCAAAAATTTTGTGAGAAGAGTGGCATTGTTTTATATTTTTTGCAAATCTCTTTAATATCTATCTTCACAGAAGATAGCTGGATTCTCCTATTTACTGCTGCATTCAGTATGTTATGCTGTTTGGATTGAAGTAAACTTTTAAAATCCAGCGTTATATAGATATGTAGTTGGAAACAAGAGGACCATTTTAATAGCCTTTTCAGATAATGCAGCTATTCTTGTTTGATACTACATCCAAATTCAACTAGTTCTGGTTTCTTTAGGATTAGTAGTAATGTGAAATCTGAAACCATACCAATGAATTTTATACTCTGGTATACTAAAACTCTTTGTCTTTAACTTTGGATAACATCACCAAATGGTCATTTGGAAAATAAGTAATGCAGATATTCCAAATGTTGACCCATTTTATTATATGATATTTTTAAAAATCACATTTGTTAATATCATCATTGATTTCATTAAAAAGTCTTTAAGCATTGGGAAAGCCCTAAACTTACTGTGGAGGGTCCGGGTTTTCCAAATCTCTTATGACTCCTTGAAAGCTCAAATTTTTTCATTGGCAACAAATGTTATCAGTTATTCTTACTTGAAATGACAGGCTTGCTCTCTTCATTCTTGAGAAAATGACTGCTGAATAGCCGCGTCAGAATAACTATAGTCTTGTCAGTTGCTCATTAGTACCTAATTCAACTCAAAAAAATAAAAAAATCATGCCGTGCTTTTTCATATCCAGTAGAGATGCCTTATGCTACTTCCCATTTCACTACCCAGAATGTTAGAAAGACATGGATGGACTCAAGGTTGAGATTTTTTTTAAAGTAATGATTTTCACTGCTTCATCGAGGATATATTTAAGTAAAACTGGACTTAAAAAAAGAAACTGTGAGTGTGGTGGTGAAGAACACAATGACCACTAGTCAATTTTGATAGTACCTTAATTTGTGCTGCTAAAACACCAGCAATTTTATTCACTGTGGCTTTTGCACCATTAGTGCAAGTGTCAACATGTGAAAATACAAACAATATCTTAGTATTACATGAAAATAGTTTTGTCTTCACAGAATATGAACTATATTTTGAGAACCACTGTAATGCTTATGCCATTATTTCTTGCTGAGCTGATATTTTCTACTGACTTCCTGTTCAAGAAGATGGGGGTTTAGCACCCCTTCACTAAACCAGCAACTCTGTTGTTCCTTTCTGCATTGCCTCAGTGTAATCATAGCACGCTGTTGTTTAAAAGAAGATTTAAGAGACAGACGCATACATAGAGAGCAGGATGACAGCTAAGGGGAGAGTTGGGGGGTGGAAGGATTGAGCAAAAAAGAAAAAAGGACACCTGGGCATGGACAACAGTGTGGCGATTGTGGAGGTGTGGGAGAAGGCAGGTTAAGGGGACTAAATGGTAATGGAAAAAAAATACATTAAAAAAAGATTTAATGTTTACCTTTTTTGTTACTATGTAAGTGTTATTCACTACCATGCTCAGTAGGATAAAATGAATGTTTCCTTGCTGGCACAACTTTTTATGTTGACCTGGAGTTGTTTACTATCTTTTTTTTTAATGTGTTTAGTTCTGTGGTCCCATCACAAATTTGTCTCAAGTCTCCAATACATTTGTAAAACATCTCCAAAATACTGGAAAAAATGGAGCATGTTTGTTTTTCCCTAGAGAAATCCATCCTGAAGCCTAGTTTCCAACATGGAGCAGCTGCTCATGCAGGCAGCAACTCAGCCTTCATGCTGGGGCACCCCTAACTGGAGAGAGCATGCCAAGCTGCTGTGGGGAGCTACATGCTCATTTCCCAAGCATGAAATAAGTCGACGTATTTTAAACTCCACGTCTACTCCCTCGTTATTAGTACATTTCCACATCCCCAAACTTGTCTACAGATCCTGAAACTTGCTGGAGTTCTGATGTACAAATTAGCTTCTTCGTCACTCACATCCCTAAGTAAGCACTTGGTTTTCAAATTTTTCAACTCCCACATTTCTCACACAACACTAACCCTCTGTACATACTATTCTGCACCTTACTGTTAAAATTTTAACTATATATCTTAGGGTTCTTTCTATATCTGTACATAGAGATCTCATTCTCTTTTTAGAGCCGCATAGTTCTATGTGGCTGTACCAGTCCCCTAGTGATGGACACTTAGGTTGTTTCCACTCATTTGCTATTTAAATGAGTAACCTGTACATTTGTCATTTTGTACTTATGCAAGTGTATCTGTATGATAGATTCTCACAAGTGATATTGTTGGGTCAAAGGATAGATGCATCTGTAATTTTGGCAGTTGTTGCCATAGTCCTTTCATAGGAGTTGTATCATTTTATGTTTCTACTAGCAGCGTATGAGAGCCACCCACCTTTTATACTTTTGCCACTCTGTTATATGAGAATGGTATTTCCTTGTAGTTTTAGTGTCTTTTTCTCTTATTATGCACCTCCACATATTAACCTTTATTTTATGTATTATTCTGTGTAAACTTTTGGTAAAAAAAAACTGTTATAATAATTTTTTTTACTTTAAGTATAAAGAATTAAAATAAAATATCATAACCTAAAGAAATATACTTAGGTTATTTGCCAAAGTTGGGCTATTCCTGTGTGACTATGACCCGTCCTCCTTACTTGGATGACTCAAGTAACTAACAAATTCATTTTTATTTAGTTAGGTCAGGTGAAATTTTGTAGTAAGGAATGAATGCACTCAACTTAAAGTATGAACTTTTAATATTCCTTAGACTCCTCTCAGTACTTACTTAACATGTACTATAGAAAGCTGTAAGTCTTTTAAGGAAAAACCAAGTTTCACATCAAAAACCCTGTTCTTCATAGTTGGCTGTATTTGCTTTCTCATCCATCTTCTCACAGTTTTTTATTCTTAATAGAAGTCACTTTCTAATTTTCTGAGTAAAAGGTCAATGTGATTTGAATACCACCAGGTCTTCTCATTGTTACAATTAATTTATACCATAGTAATGGATTATTTAAATTCTCACTCTACGCTTGCCACAGTTTACTTTTTAAGGGAACACCTGGAGCCACCTGTATTATCAATTCTCACATTTCAATCATGTCCCATATCCCCTTCCTTGCAGGTGGTATTGTGAAGGCAAGGAGCTTGAAAATTCCCCAGACATTCATATTGTCCAGGCGGGAAATCTACACTCACTGACCATTGCTGAAGCCTTTGAAGAGGACACAGGACGTTATTCCTGCTTTGCTTCTAACATCTATGGGACAGATTCAACTTCTGCTGAGATTTATATAGAAGGTAAAGCAAAATACTCTTTAAGCATGGCACTTACTGGTAAGACATATAGTTATAATAAATAAACATTTATTGAGGGCCTACTTTACCACACACTCTTGTAAGGCACTGGCGATAACAGCAGTGACCAAAATAGACAAAAATTCCTAGGTTCATGAAATATTGTAATGGAGAGACATAAAGTAAATGAGAAAAATAAATAAGATATTTAACATGATAGGTATATGAAGGGGTTCAGATCACCAATTCCAATACGTATGTGTGTTGAGGGTGGGGAGGGGGGTTGCTTCCCACATCAACAAGCAATTCTCCCTGACACCAGTTGGGTAACCTACAATTTAACTCAATTCTGACACCATCTACCATGGAGACGGTTTCAGATTCAATAGGTTAATGGCTCAGTCCTGTGATATTGCTTCTGCCTCACTTCCAATGTCAATCACAGATAATAGATCTCCAGGTTACCCACAATTTCTGTCTGGCTTGGCCACAGGTTAGAGCTTCCCGTAACCCCCAACTCAGGTTCAATTAATTTGCTATAGTATGTCACAAAACACAGGAAAAAACTTAACCAGTTTGTTAAACGATATGATATAAAGTATACAGTGGACAACTACATGAAGACATAAAGAGGGGGAGGTCTGGAAGTGTCCTGAGCAGAGGAGCTTCTGTCCCTGTGGAGGTGGGAAATGTCACCCTCACAGTGTGGAAGTGTTTGCCAACCTGAAAACTATCCTGGGAAGAGGTCAGTGTGACTTCCACTCACTCCTCCGCCATCTTGATTTTTCCTAACCTGAAAACTCTCCAAATGCCTATACTATTGGGATTTTAAGGAGGCTTCCTCACATATACATGAACAATTATTAACTCTATTTCCTGTCCCTCTTCACTCTCTGGAGAATTGGAGATGGGGCTGAAAATTCCAAGCTTCTGATCATGGTTTAGTCTTTCTGATGACCAGGCCCCACCCAGGAACCAGAGAGGAACCCACCCAGTTATCTCATTAGGACAAAAGGTGCACCTAGTGCTCATAACACTAAGGAATCTACAAAAGTTTTAGGAGCCCTGCATTAGGAAAGGGGTCAAAGACAAATTAGAAAAAGAGATGCTCTAAAGTACTCATCACTTAGGAAATTTTAAGGTTTTAGGGGCCCTTGCCAGGAGCCAGGGTCAGTGACCAGTATATATTTTATTCTCATATATATATATATATACAGGGTCAGTGACCAGTATGGATATTTATTCTCATATACACACATACACACATGTATATACACACATACACATATACACGCACACACTATGGAAGAAATACGAGTAGAAAGGAAGAAAAAGGGATAAGAAGTATGAGTATGTGCGTGTGTGTGTGTGTGTGTGTGTGTGTGTGTGTACTGCAATTCTAGATAGGGTGAGACCTCACTAACTAGGTCACATGTAGGTGAAGACCTGGGGAAGGGAAGGAGTAAGCCACAAGGATATTCAAGGGCAAAGTACTCTAGGCAGAGAAGTCAGCAAGTGCAGTGTCCCTGAGGTGAGAGTGTGCCTGTCTTAAGATACAGAGGTGAACCAATGTGGCCAGGGTGGAGGAAACAAGGAAAAAGGATCAGTTAGGTCAAAAGTACAAGATGGGCTCAACATGGGAGGAGGAAGATGAACAGATTATATAGGTCCTTGTAGTTCATTTGCAAGGACTTTGACCATTACTCTGAGGGAGATGGGAAGCTATGGAGAATTCTGAGCAGAGATGTGACATGATCTGAAATAGCTTTTAACAAGGTCACTCCGGTTCCTGGTTGAGAACATACCACAGGGATTCAAGGGTAGAAGCTGGGAGACCATTAGGGAACCTTGGAAAGGCATTTATATCAGCACCAAATTTATATGACTAATTTTAGAGAGTAAATCAATTTATGTTCCTTATATATCTGTGATAAGGTTTTTTTCCATTTATGTCATCTGCTGTGTTTTTTTCTGGGAACCATTCTTCAGCACTTTTATCAGCTGTAATACCTTACGTATGCTTTGGTTTCAGCACTTAAATATTTATTATTGTGGTATAAATGACCGTTTGTGAACTAGATTGTAAGACTGGTACTGTCTCATTCTTCTGTATCTTCAACACAGTGCCAAGTACATAGTGGGTATCTGATAAACATTTATTGAATAGGTCTGAATAATGATACTAATAATGAATAATACATGACCAGAATTGTATTGTATGCTTTCATTCTCAAATTTTTGGAGTACATTAAATGCCTCCAGATTTAGCTCTGTTAAATCTTTCTGGAATTCAGTATATTGAGAAGCAAATCCAGGATCAAAGCTCTGCTTAAGAATGCTGAGATTGGATTGCTGATTTTTTTAATTTATGGCAATGGAGCTCCAAACACCCCCACTCCTAAGATGAAATGTGACTGTTATATTAGGACTGGACGGAAGAACATCCACCTACACCTACAATGTTTGGAATCCAATGTACGCATAATCCCTTCTTTTATTTAATCTATGTAGGTCAAGAGCAAGAGGATTGTTGGACACCATATTAATGTCTACAAAGAGTATTTTGTTAGTCCAAAGGCATCAGCAGGTGTCTTATATACAAGAACACCTGGAATTTGGACCAGTTAATTTGAACACTATCACTAATTACCCATGTGACCTTGAGCAAGTCCTTCAACTACTTAGGGTCTATTTCCTTATATGTAAAAGTGACTGTAGGGAATCACTGAGCTCATTTCTAGGTCTGAAATTCCATAGGTCTTCAAATGCCTTGGAACCAGTTTTTAAAAATTAGTGTAAAAATTTCATGTCTTGTTTTTATATTTCCAGGGGCTTCTTCTTCTGACTCAGAAGGGGACCCTAACAAGGAAGAGATGAATCGGTAATTCTAATTTTGCTTAAGTCTTGCCTAGCAGGTTTATTTTAATATTTCCAACATTTTAAAAATGAGGTATCACCAATGAAACATTATCATACCTATATCTACTGAGTGAAAAAAAAAACAGTGCTTCAAAAAAAAATTCAGGTTTTCTGACTAAATAACAGTACTCACAAGAACACAAAACCTGGTGATACTAAATTATATATGGGAGTGATCTAGGCAAGTCATAACCTTTTTGCTGAACAATTGTACTAAGTATTGAACAGTTATATCCATCTATTCATTACTTTCCACAAATATTGACGAAGCACCTACTGTACACCTGACACTTCACTAGATGCAGTGGGTACTAAGAAAAATCAGATACTTCTTGCTTTCCTGCTTACAGTCTAGTAGAATGAAATACATAGCAAATATGGCAAGAGATGTATATCAAGCATATAGACAGTAAGAGTAATAAAGTATAATAGACAATTATGTGCAAGGTATAAACGACTTGGCACAAAGAACTCTATTGGTTGAGGAGGGAAAGAGAGATCAGGAAGGGCAACGCAGAGTTGGTGGCCTTCAGCTGAGGCTTAAAAGAACAGTAGTAGGTGGACAGCCCCAAACGAGAGGAAAAGGCATTTTGGCCAAAGAGGCTGTGGAGAGAAGGCATGGGAACTGGAAAGGGACACAATAGCCACTCCTTGATCCTGTCTGAAACAAACAATGTTTAGAAGACTGGTTAAAGAGTTATTAACTGTGTTTGCATATTCTGTCCTCCCCTATAAGGAGTAGCTACTCTTTAAGGGCAGAAATCATCTTACTCTTCAAAATCCTTTATGTCTATCTTAAAATGATAATTTGCTTTTAGCTTTTGTGCAGATACAAAAATTCATAGCCAGAGTAAATGATTTCTCTCTTCAACTCACTTCCTTATTCTCATGGCTTCAGTTCAATTTCTCCTTTTTTCCTGCCTCTTTATTGCCTCCTTACAGGTGCCCCAGCCTTTTTCCCTTTTACAATTTTTCAAATACAACCAGTTATTCTCTAAAAGAGCATTCTGGTCCTATCATTTCCCTGACTTATAAAAATTATCTATGGGAAAATAAAATGCAAAATAAACATTTTTTAAAAACCTTAGCATGGCATACAGAGTCTGACTCAGGAGAGTATCAACCAGACTTTCTTGCCCTCTCCTCCCCATCCCCCCACCTCAAGCTCTCTACACCGTTGCCATCTCACTGAACAATGTACCATTAATTTCCACCCCCTCCTTGCCCTTCTTCAAGCTGTGTACTTCGCTAGGAATGTCCTATCTCCTTCTCTGCCTGGTCTTCAAAAACCCAGTCAAGTTCTATAATAAACTTCTCCTCTATTGCACCTTTATGCCTCCTTCCTCAAGGCACTCATAACACAGTTACAAGCCTCATGAGTATGAATTTTTATATACATACTTATATAAGCAAGAAATATCTTATTTGTTTATTTTCTTTACATCTACTTGTAGGAGGTAGGACCTAGCTTCAGTTATGTGTAATAGAGACTCAAAATAATGACTAAAATAAGACATTTATTTCTCATTTGCATAAAAAATACGGATTTAGCTGGTAAGACCACTTCACAGTCCACTGGGTTTCAATCTGCTTCCATCTTTCTACTTCATCTAATTCCAAGGTGTGGCCTCATTCTCTTAGTCTAAAGTTGGAAGAAATAAGGGTATACCTTGCCCACCTTTTAAGGTCATTTCTCTTAAAACACATACATTACTATCCCTCATATTCCATGACCAGAAAGTAGTCATGTGGACACACCTACCTCCAATGAAGGTTGGGAAATACAGTGTTTATTTAGAGTAGCCATGTAAAGAAATCAGGGGTTCTAGTATTGTAGAAAAAGAAAATAGATGCTCAGGGAACACTGATAGCCTCGGTATCGCCACATAATTCTGTTTCTGAGACCCTGACTTACCTGGCTAGAAAAATATTTAACCAGTCATTATTGGATATCCCCTTCCTCCTCCATGATGATGGAAAAATCCTTCGGATATAGATATGGATACAGATAGTGTGTTATGTTAAACACTTCTCTATGCATCTTACATGAATTACCTTATTTAACCCTCACAAAAACCCAATGAGACAAAAAAGTATTATTTTCCCACTTGAGAAATGAGGAAGCTGAGGAAGACAGAGGTAACATCTAAACAAAAGGGGCCCTGACTAGTATGGTTCAGTGGGTTGGGTGTCATCCCGCAAACCAAAAGGTCACCGGTTCGATTCCCAGTCAAGGCACATGCTGGGTTGCTGGCCATGTCCCCAGTTGGAGGCATGTGAAAGGCAACCAGTCACAGCCAATCAATGTTTCTTTTGCACATCAATGCTTTTCTCCCTCTCTTTCTCCCTCCCTTCCCCTGTCTCTAAAAATAAATAAATAAAGTCTTTAAAAAAAATAAACAAAATGGAAGCCCATTCTGTCATCGGTCTTCTACCCCAACAGGTTACTGGAGACAGGCCCATGTTCCAGACCTCAAGTTCCCTTTAAGTGCAGTCCTTTGTTGCTTCCTGATATGCTTGGGTACTGATAGCTTTAGCAAAAGTGGGACTCTTTAGTCAGAGGGGGTTACCATCCCCTCTGGACTCAGGTTTTCCCTCTTGTCACGTTCTCTCGCAAGATCCACAAAACTAAAATAATCCCCCCTCTGTGGCCTCTTCAAGAATATTTCTTGGCTCCCTTGCCTTTCAAATAATCTCTTTAATTTGTGTAAACTTGAAGAGCTCATTGACTCAGGCTATTTCTGCCTTCTGCCATGCCAAAATCCCAGAAGCAAAGATTTACAAGGCCTGGCCTCTTACTTGAAATAGGAAGGGGAGAGAAAATACAGAGGCCAACAACAAAACAAATCTCAAAACTTATCTTCTGCACATGCTCTGCCCTAGCAGTTGTCTGGATTCTCCATTGTAAATATGCGCAAGTCCCCAGCTTGGCTGAGGGCAATTAATTCAAGGACAGGAGTGGTATCTTATCATCTTCCTGTTTACATTTAACAAAGTGTTAGCAAAGAAGTTTTCAGTAATGGCTTGTGGAATATTGTTGACCAAAGATTTGTATTACATCTAACTGTAAGCAGGGATAACATTACTAACTTTGCTGAAAGAATTTTCACAAGAAATGATAGGTCTGTTTTATATATATTTTTCAATCATTTCTCAGAGTCCAGAAGCCAAATGAGATGTCATCCCCTCCCACAACTTCTGCAGCCATTCCTTCAGCAGCACCCCAAGCACAGCATGTGGTGGCCCAGCCAAGTGTGTCAATCATCCAGCAGGTACACGAAGCTAAGTGAAATCAAGTGCCAGGGACTGCGACAGACAAGCTCTGTGAGCATGACCATGTTGTATGGCATGATCATGTTCTTCTCTGTTGCACCTTCATAATGATCTTGGGTAACACACTTTTATGATCATGATAATCTGTACTTCTGATGTAAGGTATCAGTGGTTCCTCTTGCTTTGGGAACATATTGTTTAGCTTCATAGGCAACTTTCATAGGAAAAAAGCTCCCTATGAATTAGTCTCTAATATTCCAGCTTTATTGGCATTAGGGTATTGATACAGTTCTCACAGTGGCCCAAGATAACTATACATCATGAAACTCAGTTTTACAGAGCTGTAGAGAATTCTGCTTTCTAACACAGCAACCATGAAATTATTTTTTAAAATACATTAAAGGCTCCCATCCTTCAAGTTGATGATGATGCTGCTGACGATGATAATCCTAATACATGCTTAATGTGAAAACATTCCAAAAATACAGAAGTATATTAAGTAAAAACTTTAGTTAAGATTATATTCCCATGCTCTCACTCCTCAGAGGTACCTTCTTTTAACAGTTTCTAGCAGATAATTTCATGCATTTTCTAAGCATATATCTATAAATATGTGTTATGTATATAGTTCCAAAAATATAAAATCATACCAATGTAAATATATTTGTAATGTGTTATTGATATATTTATTGATTTAAAATCACTTTTTAAAAAATTAAACCTGACTTATTCAAGCCATTTAGTAATGCAGAGGGGGACACATTTTAGTTCTAATTCAGTAGTTTTCAAATTGTGACTTGTGGAGGCTCAGGAGTTCTATGATAATTCTTCAGGGATTTAGGGTTAATTACATAGCTTTATATGTGAGATGGTCGGCACATATTTACAGCCACCGTGATCTAGAAAAAAAATTCAGTATAAAATTCGAAGTCTGTGATTCATAGACTTAGAAATTGTCAGTCTTTTGGTTTTAGATTAATTTCATATACCAGACTCTGTAAATGTGTTATATTTATCTCTATATCTACCTGATAATGATAGGGCCTATAAATCTATTGTTCATTCTCTTCTCACAGTGTCGGAGTCCTACCAACTATTTGCAAGGTCTGGATGGAAAACCTATCATTGCAGCTCCTGTGTTTACAAAGGTAATCAAAGTATTGCTTCTTTCTGTCATGGCTTTAAATATACTACAATACCCAAACAAAGCTGTAGGTGCCAATATTTACTGATTTTATCTGAGGATTTTGGTCTGTTAAAAGCGTAGTATAGGATTTAGGATTTTCAGTAGTTGTTACTATGTTATTCAAGTCCCAGATTTCTAATAACCGTTTGTGTAATGAAAGAAATGTCTTCCCACTCACCACATTGATCTCTATGGCCATCCTATTGCTGTTAAACACAATAGCCACACATACAGGTCAGATGATAAGTTTCCAGCCACTTTATACTCCAATGGTTTCTCTGGACACACTTTCAAAAGAATTGAGTTGCACCAAAACAATGTCTTTAGTGCTCAAGGAGATGAAGTTAAATGTTCTTAGGAGGCTTAGTATAAAGCTTCACTCTAGGACAATGAATCTTATTTTTCTCTTTCCTGGTATCAACTATTGTGGTGGCATTAATTCTGGGTCTCACAGTCTTTGTATTACAACTGGAAGTTTTACTCAAGGACTTTTGTTTACAAATGGGGAAAAAAAACAAACAAGCAAGAACCAGAGAAATTACGCAATTTATCCAATGTCACAGAACTAGTTAGCAGTAGAATCAGGACTAGAAACAAGTTCTCTCAATTCTCACTCAATGTATGTTCTTTCACTTGTAAAATATTGACTTTGTTTATCTGTTATACAAGGCAATAAATTAAAAGGTAAAAAAATTGAGTCACATTACATTTTTTTAGAGAAGTTCCACCATATCGGCTCATCCTAGATGGTTTTCCAAAATCAACCAGAGTCTTGAGTGAGACATGTTTATCCATATGCATATCAGTTAGGTCAACATTCTTATGTGAAACAAGATGCTGCTTGATTTTTCAGGTCCATTTTTTGTAACCTGCTTTTAGAATTTCAGCATTGCTTCTTTTCAAAGACTTGAATGAGGAAAGCAACATGTTGTGACTTGGCGAATACAAGACTTTGATGAAGGGTTACAAAAGAATGTGTGCGTGTGTGTGTTATATAGCTAATAGAACCATCTGTAATTGTCTCTTATTTCACTGCTAAGTCAGTTAGCCTTAAAACAGAGCTTAAGTGCCCCAGAAATCAAGACACTTTAATTTGTCATGCCCATTTGTCACATCTTAGAGACAGTGCTGACTCTTCAAAAGTAACTAAATCACCGAATAATACGTACCTAGTCCAAACTGATGTCCCCTCCGCTTTTCTCTTCCTTACTACCATCTGCCCAGCCAGACACCAGAGAGGTGGCCTTTATCTCCTCCCACTCACTTTTAAATCTCCTCAGGTGCTCTATCTTCCCTGCATCTGTATCACCTGGTGCTAACTTCTGGTACAATATTCAGCACAATAAAATTGTTTACTTTTCTGTCTCTCCCAAGCACCTTGAAGGCTATCTCTAATACCTAGATTAAAATACATGAAGGTAATAATAGGCCCAAAGACATTTTTATTATTCCAAAAAGTACAGTAGGACTTTAACACTTATTCTTTACATTTTGTTTTCATGGACCAGTTAGAACAACAGGTTTAGCGGCTTTTGTGTGGTGACTCTGATTACCTCCTTCTAACTAGATGCTCTGATTGACAGATACATATATGCATTGGATAAATAAAAATGGGTAAATGAATAATCATTAGTATATGTTGTATGTTAGACAAATCTCCAAAAAACATTAGATCCACAGTGGGAAAATGGTCTTTAAGGCAAAAACCCAAGCTCTGATCAGGCTCCCTGAGCCCTCAGATGTATGCTTTTGCCTCCATAAATGGGACCAGGATCATTCGGACGTGGGGACTATGATAAGCTGACTCAGATTCCAGAGAGACTCACCAGCAACAGCGGGCTTGCGTTAGTTTCCATCAGTGCAGGCAGGATTGAGGTCATAGTCACTGCCAGTGTCCTTTGAAAATTTCTGCGTCAGAGCCACTGGCAGTGGTAATCACGTGGCATGAGCCATGATAGCTGATCATTTGCATATGTTCATTAGGGTTATTTCTGCTCTATTTACTTCATTAGGGACTTCTGGCATATCAACCCCATGACTCACTTTCTATACTGCCCAGCAAAACATTTCTTTGCCAAGAGAGCAATGGCAAGAAGCCAGTTTTTTTTCAAAGCATCAATTAAAGAGCTGAGTTTTACTTAACTTTGTGTGCCTTATTTGGTGATAGGGAAATACTGGTATTGTCTTTTTTAAAAAGATTAAAATAAAAAAGAGGGCTGCCCATCAAAACAGTGGTAGAGTTTGAGACAAGACTAAGGTTCTATACTCACTGCTCTGATCATAGGTGATACCTATGTTTTAAAATATCTTATGGAGATAGACTATCCTTCATCCTCTATCAGAATCAAAGACACTTTCACTCTATTTATGGGGGAAAAACAGTGCTCGCACTTCTTGAGTGCGAAGGGAGGTAGGTGATCAAATTAGAATCTTACGCCTCACACTGCTCCCACTCCAGCAGCAGCTGCTCTGGCGGACTTTCAAGGCTGCAGCAGCCCTGGCTCCAGCTGCTTCAGCAGTAATTTGAAGAGTGCAAGGGGGCAGGGGAAGTGAGAAGTTAAAGAAGTGTGCTTTCATTATATAATATCAGAGGCAGGAAACCCTGAAATAACTGGACCAGTAACTGGATCCAGATTTCTGAAGATTACATGGGCCCCTTGCCCCCAACCTGGCAATTCCAGAGGCTTTTCTGACTCAGCTGTTGCACAGGGCACCTGTGACAATCAAGGGGCAAAAGGGTCTTGTCTTCAATCAAATAGTTACTTATCAGGAAAACCTACTCTGATCCAATTCCAGCCTAAAACACTAAAAACATTCATTGGCAGCATCTTCCAAGTTGCAAAAAAATGTCAACTGGATTAAAAAGGGAATAAAATGGCAGTATGAACCTTGTAGCTAACATCTTTTCATCAATAAGGATGATGCCCTTTCTCAAGATGTCCCTGCATTATATTTGTGGGTAGGATCTGCTAAATAGGAACTGTGTCCTTTCAACTCACATCTGTAGCACTTGGCACGGTGGTTGGCACAAAGCAGGCACACAGTAATATTTAGTCTGTGGTGAATAACTTCCATTTCAGCTAAGAAGGAATGACTGCTTTCATCACTTTGTGGGGTCCAAGTGTCTTTAGTGGGAATAAAGTGAGGAAAAAATCCAATATCAGATGGCGCTGTGTAGTGAAGTCACTCTACAAAGAATGTCTTCCCAGATGACCAGCATGGTGAGGACACAGAAGACAGATTTGCACTTTGGATACTGTTTACCTCAAGAGGTTGCAGACATTTGGTTATAGCGACTTCAGTCCAGACCCATAATTCTTAGTTAAGACTAACTTAATCTTTGCTAGTTGGGGAATATTTCATTAGCCTTGTTTGTCTTCAGTGAAATTGAGATGATTATGATCAAGTCTGTACACAGTGTACACATTGCGCCATGAGTAACAGCCTAAGACCCACTACTGGTTTAAACGTGGCACTATCCACACTATGTTCAAATGGTGCAACTGTTTTGAATGCAGATGTGCAGCAATGTGTGCCAATTCCTCCAATGGGACTTTTGTAGAAAAGCAGTTTTCAGCGATAACAATTATCATTGTCCTTCAAACTATGACTTTCAACAACTTTTCCTGTGGAGCTTGTAAGATGACCCTTTGGTACTTCCTTTGCTGAGTATTGATGATGTGTCACACTGGAATGTGCTTCTATCTTATATCACAGATATTTAGTGGGCATATTCCATACACTGCAATAACTCAGGTATCTTGGCTGGACTCTCATATAGAACACAGGTCTTGGCCATCAGTGTGAAGTGAGTAACAATAACAATGTTGGTCTCAATTGTGAGCAACATATTCTCTCAAGGAAGTGCTTTTTCCAGCAGGGCTTTGCTGTAACCTCTGCAGATTAAGAATTGACTTATGTATCTGAACTGAACCGGAAGCCATGTCAAAATATATCAATTGACCCCATTCTGCTTACATCTATTTTTAAAATGAGCCGTATTTTATTTATTCAATTCCTTCTGCCATCACCACCTTTTTTTGTTGTTGTTTCTTTGTTTGTTTTTCTAATTTGTTTACCTCAAGAAGGAATGAGCCCTGACTGGTGTGGCTCAGTTGACTGGGCATTGTCCCACAAACCTAAAAGTTGAGGTTCAAGTTCCAGTCATGGTACATGCCTGGGTTGCAGGCCAGGTCCCTGACTGGGGCACTGCAAGAAGTAGCCAATTAATGTTTATCTTGTACATCAATGTTTATCTCTCCTTTCCTTCCCTCTCTCTAAAAATAAGTAAATAAAGTCTTTAAAAAAAAAAGGGAATGCTACCCCATTACATACGAATCCCAGGGAGACGTCTGACTACCATTAAAGTATTCAATAGGGCCCAAAGTTTCTGTTTTAATAGAGAATTTGCTCAGATGTCAGGATCGGGCCGCATTCACCAGCTTGCCAGGGGCACTGAAGACTCACTGATGTTTCCTTCCTACTGAGAGCATTTCATTCTTGTCACTAGAAGATGTTGTTTTGAGTAGACAAGGAATAAAAAGGTTTTTAATCAAATTGTTCCTTATTAATCCAGAAACCACTCTGTACAAACCCCATCCTGAATTACTTCAGCAAACAAATTTCGAAACACTAAAATGAACAAAACACTAACTTTGAACTACAATGCCCTCTGGTCATCCCCACACCCCTGTGAGGTAAAAATCTCCTACTGTAGCTAAAACCATAGTTATCCCCATCCCAGTGTTCCTTAGACAAATGCCATAAATACAATACAGCCATGCACCAAATACTATAAATTGTTCAGACAAGAGCTATAAACAATCACCAAATATTTATTGAGTGAATGACAAAGGCAAATATATATATATATATATATATATATATATATCCTATATTTATATAGGCTATCCCCTTCTCTGAAGCAAGAACCACTCATTATTTCCTAATTGCAGATCCCAAAATTATCATAATTGAAAATGTCACAGCATTTGTTACTAAAAGAGCTTGTGGAGGAAGTTAATCATAACCTTTCTATGTTTATAATCTTTGGTCCAAAATTAAAAACAAAAATGTATTCACACACATACCTAAGAAACATTTCATAATTAAATGAAGCACCTACTACACAAATGAATGTGTGACTTCAAGTTTACAAATCATGATGAGTAAAAGACTAGCTGTGAAAGGAAAATGTGAGTTTCATTCTCTCATAGAGTCTATCATAGAGTCTATCATGGAATATACTGATATTTTACATTTCCAGGTGGTGTTTGTAAATCTTTTTTTTTTGTGGAAGTATGGAAAAATATTTAATAATACCTTCACAAAATTACAAGATATTTTACCATGACCTAAGACTCCAAGATATGTGACTATGATTTCATAGAGATTGTCATTACTTATATCCCTGAACAGATGTCTATACTGTAAAGAACACATAAGGGAAATAAAATAGCAAAACAAAAGTCAATTGCCAGAACTATAGAATGTAAATAAGGCAAAGCTAGGAAAACAGAGTCAACTACTTGGTTCAAAGAGATGTTACACCTCATGAATGGCAATATTCTTGTGTGGAAAAAATACATTATTCCTATGCTTAGTACCCCAAGTAGATTCTCACTCACTGCAGGTTTTTTAAATTGTCATTATTTTTGGAAACTACTTAGGCATTTAAGAACAGAAGTACTTTACCAATAAATTAACATTTTTTGGATCCCCTCAAAATGTTTTGCCTGGTATTTAATAAACTTGTCTGGTGCTGCAACAGAGAGGAAAAGGAAGATAGTGAGGAAAAAGGGTCATAAAGACTTATTGCACATGCACAGAAGCGAAGCTGCCAGACATGAAGATTCAGAAAAAATCCAAACACAGAGGCAATGGTATCTTTTTCTAAAATTCAGCACTGATCTAGATTTCAAAAATGTGTACTTTTTGCTTTTAATAATATTCTTCTCATTATAGATGTTACAAAATTTATCAGCCTCTGAGGGTCAGCTGGTTGTCTTTGAATGCAGAGTAAAAGGAGCTCCATCTCCTAAAGTTGAATGGTATAGAGAAGGGACCTTGATAGAAGATTCTCCAGATTTTAGAATTTTACAAAAAAGTAAGTTGATGCTTTAAAATTATTTTTCTGATAATTAATTTTTATAAATGTATTGTGTACCTTTATTTGCATAAATTTAACAACTAATTAAAATATAATAAAAAGAATACAATAAAAATCACTTGCAATCATAATCCCCCAAACTAAACACTGTTAATATTTTGGTGTATATTCGCCAAAATTTTTTTCATGCATATTTTTTAATAAAAATAAATCATACTCTTTTTTATGGTGTTAGATTAAGTACTAGATTTATTAGGGTAAGCATTTTGTAAGTTATATAAATGTCTTATCATTGGGTTGTACACCTGGAAGTGATACAATATAGTATGGCACTGTAAATCATACTTCCTTTTGTAAGGTAGTTTTTCACTCAACACTTAATGAGCATCTTTCCATGTTAATAAACATAGGCCATGATTACTTTTAAAAATATATCAGTACAATTAATTTCATATTTATTTAATTTCCTGTTGCTGAACATTTAGACTGTTAACAAATGTTTACTGTTATACTATGCTTCAATGCATGTTAACAGAAAATTCTTGTGACTATAGAATAAATTCAAGTATGAGAATTACCATTGTAAGTTCACTTTTCTTAGACTTTTAACATATATTGCCAAAATACAATCCCAAATGGTTGAATTAAATTTAGGATGATCACATAATTTATCATTGACTCTGAGACATTTGGGGAAGTCAAAGAGAGCGCTATTAATAATAACATAAAGATCCGAGGAATAAACCAGGTCTGTCCCAGCTGAACTGAGACATGTGTTGACCAAGCTATGTTTTACTACAGCCAACAATATATGGGAATGCCTTTTGTCTCATACTTTCACTAGCAATGGGAATTAAATTTTTTTTATCTTTGCTAATTTTATAGGCCCCAAATGGAAACACTTCTTTTGATCTGCACTTTACTGATTAGATGTGAGATGGAACTTTTTTCATATTTGTTTGGTCTTCGTATTTCTTTATTTTTAAATTACCTGTCCATATCTTTTGCTCATTTTTATATTAGATTTTTATTTTTATTGTAAGAATTACTTATATATTCAAGTGATTAATTCTTCTTTTCTTGTCACGTAAGTGCATTCACCTTGACCCATTTCAGCATAAAATACATTGAAATTTATTTGCTTTTTTGTTCATGTTTCTGCCTATCACAAAACTGTAGTCCTTGGATCAGTATGATATATAAATCAAACTACTATTAAGTTTAACAGCATTTATAGCAACAATAATATATTCTGAGTACCACTGAAACTGATTTAAAAAAAGAAAAAAAACTTCAATATTCTATCAGTACAGAAGATTGTAGCTAAGTTCAACAACTACCTACTGAGTGCCTACAACTTGATAAACATTAATTGAATACCTGTATGCAGTACAATGTGGGCATTTCCAAATTCTCTGGAATTCTCTGGAATACCAAAGAATTTTAAGATAAAGGACTGGTTCTCAAGAAACCTGTCATCTAATCCTTAGGCTCTTAATATTAGAAACTTTAGAGCAGAAAGTATACTCTACATTTTATTAGGATATGCGAGCCCAAAGGCAAAAATAACCTCCCAGTCTTCACAGTTATTTTCAGGTAAGGCTGAATGGGTACCAATGAAAGCCGGTTGTTCCTGAATCCCAGCTAACTCCATAACTTTTCTTCACCTAAGTTTTCTAAGTCTCAAGTGGAATCTGGGTATGTCTCAAGATACAGAAACATCATTTAGTTAGAGCTCTCTTGCTGCCCTTCTGTCACAATCATCTTGTTCCTGCGGAGACCACTGGTGCTTAGGTCATTGTAGTTAACATTTACAGCTTAGCCTTAACAAATCACTCATGAGTATGCAAGTGACTATGAAATTCTATAGAAAGCTTCTGATGAAAATATAATCTCTCAGTAAAATAAATGCTAAGAATCTTCTAATTTTTTTTCTCTTTTAGAACCTCGATCCATGGCAGAGCCAGGTAAAGATCATTTTAACTTTAATTTATTAGTATGTGATTAGTGATTTGATATATATAATAATACATATTAGAATTACACTGGTGTCACGAAAAAGTGAAAAACAAAGTTTTAAGGAAAAAATCCAAACCAACCCTAGCTATTACTGTGAAGGAAGTAAGGAGAGCATGGGCAAATTTGGAATATGTATCCACTACTTAGTATGAATGCAGTTAGTTCTTGGTATTGAGGAACGTTTCTTAGGAATAGCTTCTCTCTTTCTTTGGCCCCTACTCATGACCTCCCAAAACTTCGCAGAGCAATTTCCATAATACTAGATCAATTCCAACTTTACAGCATAAGTTTCTGAAAATGTATACATCAGATTTTGAAATTTGCAGAATCAACACAATGTTTGTGATTTAGTTGGAAGGACGCTAAGATGACATAAAAGTGACAAGTAGGTGAAGCTCTCGCCTCTAAAAAATATAGGTCACTTACAATCCAAGCATAAACACCGGAATGTCCTTTTTGTGATCACCCTGAAGTATCACATTGTATTTTCACCCCTGGGTAAGAATGATGGTTTGGAATTTCATTATTATAACTCTCTTCTGAAAACCAAATGGAAAGGCATTCCAGAAGTAGACATTGAACATCCATGTTTCATAGCCCTGCACGAGGCCCTTAGGGATACATAGTAAAGACCAGAGGGATCTTATCCTTGCATTGCTTGTAGCAGAGAATTATTTTTTCCCCTTGAAAATATTTCAGGCTTTTGACACATTCATCCAAAGCAGATATTTTCACTAGGCAGTCTCATATACAAAATAATTCCACAGTCACTCAAAAGTAGCCCCAGCCCAAAACAAATCCTGCCTTTCCCAGCTCCATCATCTAAAATCTCAGAGCCAGATCGTTCTTCTTCCCGTCTTGTATATAATTCAAGTACCCTTTGGAGACAAAATGCTTTATCTTATCAGGCAGGTATAGTGTAGTGTGAACGAATTTATCAGATCATTTTCTGAGAGCAGGTTACTGAAAAAGGAAGGTACCAATATTTGGAAGGGGAATCCAGAGAAGGAAACATAGGCCAAGGGCTCAGAAAAAGGATAGAGAGGCACCAAAACCAAGCTTTGCCTATCATTTAGGATTCTTTGGGCAGTAAGTAAATCAGACCTAAATGAAAATGGCTTAAGCAGTAAGAAAAATGTATTTTTTCACATAGCAACATGCCCTGAGAAATGGCATTCTTGAGATTGCTCAATTTAGTATCTCAGAGAGCATCGGAGACCAAGTAATTTTTTCTTTTCATTTTCCATTCTGCCATTCTCAGAGTATCCTCTTAGGCTGATTCTACTCATATACCCACGACAGTTGCCACAGTTATGGATATTAAATGCAGATGACAATAATCAGAGGCAAAAATAGGAAGTAACACTCTCTGTTGTCTCATGTAAAGAACAAGAACAGCTTTCCCAGAAACTCCCAGGTGACTTTCCCCAATATCTCATTGACCAGAATTGTGTGTCACATGCCATCATTTGGCAAGAATAGAGTTAGCATGACTGGCTTAGCATGACTAATCACAATTCACCACCTAAGACTGGCAAGGCCAGTTTGTCTTGAAGCACACGATTACTCCAAGGAGGGCAGACCAAGTTAGGAATCTGTTAATGAAGAAGAAAGAGGATGTAGAGTTATTGAGCAGGTACTCACCACTGTCTGCCACGGCCTTCTGTCCAGGTTTCCTTAGAGGTTTTCTGGCTAATTTAATCCAGTTATCATGAAACACTGAGATGCCAAGTTTCTCCTTATATAACCATGCTTTTATTAATTTTGATTTTAATGTCAGGTCTACTCAGTAATAACTGGAGGCTTAGACACTGTCTCAGTCATCTCTTCATTAGCTGCCAAGACATACCTAACTATAAGAATTACAGTCTGGAAGCATATGGGATCTGGGAATCATTTCTGTAGTTATTCAAAAGGGGGTTCATACTCTGTATTGGAGTAACCTGTAAGAATTGCCATAGTATTACAAAGGGGAAAAATGTATTTCACTTGCCTTTCACCAAGAATTTCAAGTTATTTTATCAACTAATTACTATTAGCTAAGCAAAACTTTATTATCCAGTTTTAAATTGTGGCCTTCCTTTAAAATTACCTCACACAAAACTTTCCCACAGAAATAGTGAGAGACCTGGGTTTAAAAAATTTTTTTTATTAATCCTTTTATTTCACACAAACCTCCTTTTGCTTTAACTCCTAATTTGTCTTTGTGATTTTTAAGTTTATTGTTCCTCAGTTCTACTTTTGTCATCTGAACTGATGACATAAAAATAGAAGATAATTTGAGAATCCATAATATATATTATATTATAATAAAATTATCTTGTTGATATCTGTCTAAATGGACTATTTGTTTTATAAGCCTTGACTCATTTAGCCTGCTAATCAGTCAATTCAATTAAAAAAATTGTTTGGACTAATTATTTTCAAACAATTAATGTAATCATTGTCTTATATTGACTTACATGGAATTACCATCTGATATCAGTAAATTCCATAATTCTATTTTCGTAATTACATCAGTAACCATTTTGTTTTATTGGTATTTAGAGGAGATTTGTACTTTGGTCATTGCTGAAGTGTTTGCAGAAGACTCTGGGTGCTTCACATGTACTGCAAGCAATAAATATGGCACAGTGTCAAGCATTGCACAACTAGATGTAAGAGGTAAGGGCTCTTTAAGTGCCCGAACAAGTTAGACTATGTCTTTCAATGTGAGTATGGAAACTTTATATTTTCTTTCCTTACTGCTTTTCATATGAAGTATGCGTGGCTCTCCTTTTGAAAATTGAATTATTAAGGAAAGAGTTCTTGAACAATATCCAATTTTCAACTTATTGCATTTATAACCACCACCACCCCAGTCGTCCTATTGTTTTCTATTATACTTCCTAAGAAAACATCTCCTTGGTTTTATATAAACTTCAGTATTCTTTCTAAAACAGTCCTTAAAATTTTAGTTTAGTTTTTTTCCTCTATCCTCACCATTCTTTAATGCTCCAGATTATGTCTCTGTTTTTGACAAGCATTTTCCCTTTAGCAGAATCATCTGGTTTGCATACATGCCCCAATTCATGGTTATGATCCCATCTCAGTCTCACTGAGGAAGGCTAACAGCTCGGGTCCTATTATTGTCATTTCAGGAAATGAAGACATTAGAAATAATGGGTCTCTTCACTCAGCCAATTCCACCACCAACCTGGCTGTTATTGAGCAACAGCCGTCCCCACCCAACCCAGAGCCTCCTTCTATGGAACAACCCCCTAAACCCAAACTCGAAGGGGTTCTGGTGAACCACAATGAGCCCCGGTCCAGCTCGAGGATTGGGCTCCGCGTGCACTTCAACCTGCCTGAAGATGACAAAGGAAGCGAAGTGTCCTCTGAGGGTGGCATGGTGACCACCAACCAGGCCAGGCCTGATTCTTTCCTGGAGAAATTCAATGGACAGACAGCAAAAATCTCTGAGCCTTCTTCACCTGTCAAAGAGCCCCCTCCAGTCCTGGCCAAGCCCAAACTGTAAGTAAAAATTAGGCCATCCTAATGGCCTAATCACCAAGAGTGCTTGTGAGCTTCTCTGAATCTTCCCTTCTCAGAAACAATGGAGCTGAAAGGGGAATTACAAAATGACAAAATACACTTTAAATGCTTTAAAAGCTGTATAGCCTTACATCAATCTAAGGGTACTATCACTATTAATTATCTACCTCCAAGAAAAGTCAAACAAACTAGCTCACAAATATGTTTGTGTAATATGAGAGGACTCCAGGTAAAGTGTTTCTAAACTCCTTTTATAAAACTGTTTCTTGCCTCTAATAATCCCAATTGTCTGTAATTTCATCCTTATATTTCCCATTTCTGCTTCAACTGAAGCTTTTGTAGTCACTATGGAAAAGGTATTTAGTATTTTTTAGATAGTCTTTGCTATGGCTAGATAAGCTATAGTAACCCCATTGGGTTGTGTATAAAAATAACAGGATGAAAGAAGTCATGTTTTTCAGACTCACCTTAGGAGATTGATGTGCTTGTTGCCCTAACCCTCTGGAGAGCCTCATCAGAGACATGTTGCAATGTTTAATGTTCATCCATAGGAAAGCAAACACAGAACATGATGCTACTACTATGTTCTGTTTTGTCCACACATCAAAATGATAAAAATTATGTTTATAATTTCATAAACTTCTAACTATCAGCATTAAAATCTGTAGTATCGGCACATCCATCATGTATTTCTCAATGCTAACCACAAGATGTTCATTGCAAATAGTTCATGTTGTTTAGTTTTACATTTTTCTCACTACCACATAAGGCAAAATTCAGGGCATAAAATTAAATGTTACGAAACATGCCTCTTAGCAAATCATATCCAGAATTGTCTCTGTCCCCTCAAAGTTCTGCTGGCCCCAGGAAATAGGAATCCACTTAAAGTAAAAAGAGGGGAAGAGGATATTGCAGTGATCTATGTGGGAATGGGAAACCAAACATGCCAGGCCCTGCACAGAGAAAGCGAACTGGAGAGTTGGGAGCTGGGGTCACATGGTTAGTCCATCTTCTGTCCACTTCTCACTCTCTTTCTCGGGTACGTCCTTGTTTCCTCTTTGCATGTCCACTCCACTGTTCTCTCTTTGAAGGTTTATCAGTTCATGTTTGGCCCATCATGGCATGTCTCGTTCTACATCACGGTTTGTGTCAAGTTCCACTGTTAACTAAATCATTCTCAACAGCTTGATTCCAAATACCAGCTGGTCCAGCCTGGTCAAGTATAGAGGACTTAACGCTTGGAAGGAGTACGAGTCAAATGGATCACAGAACTGGGGCTAGGGAGATGGAGGAGGAATGGAGCAGTTCTCAGAGAGGAGACTTGTGGGAATGAGTAACCCAGAACAATCTCCTTCCGGAATTGCCTCCTTCGTAGGGCCTCCTCTTACACAGGGGCTGTTTAGAGGCTATTAGATATGTCATTTTGGATTAGGTTTAGTTTCACGTTGCAGAAAACCCAAACTCACAGTGGGTTAAACACATGAGGGTTTCTTTTTCTCTCAAATAAAGGAATTAGATGGGCACCTGGAGCTGTTATGATGGCTCCATAGTCACAGTAAGAACCCAGTCTCCTATCCTGCTCTGCCAGCCGTAGCCCTGGCTGCTTCTCCAGGCCCCCTGGTGGTCTGAGATGGTGGTCTGGTCCTCGCACTGCCATTTCAAGCAGCAAGAAGGGCGAGTAAGTGGGTGAAAGTCCTGATGTCAGACACCTTTTAAGAAGCCTTCTTAGGTCTTACCCAAATCTTCTGCTTATATCTCATTGGCCAGAACTTAATCACACATTATATTCTAGTTGCGAAGGAGGCTAGGAAGTATGGTCTTTGGCTGTGTATGTTGCCTCCATGAATGAAATCAAGTTATTTTACAAAGTAGTCAGCCAATGGTATCTACCACATGAGACTTTCAATGAATACAAAATTTTTTTCTACTAAGTTATGTAGTGCCACCCTCTAAAAACACAGCCCTCAGCACTATATAATCCTTCAATATATTTTGCCTTTTTAAAGTTTTCTCTTGTGTACATATAGGTTTGTGTTAGTATAGGTACATGTGCATGAACTCACACACACACATACACACACACACACACATCTTTAATGAATCCACATGCCTACAAACTTGTCTTACTGGTTTTAGCCTCATTCATTTTAATCTTTTATTGTATTAAAAATATGTTGACTCTTTGAATAAATCTTCTTGAGGATACAATTTTCTGCTTATTCCTTCAATTTGCCATTCAAATGAACAACAGATATAATTTTTGGAGATCTTAAAAGTGCAACAGAAAGGGAAGCTGTCAGTTTTAAACTCTTATCATCAAAGCCTAGATAATTCAGACTTTGAAATTTTCAACTTGAATATCAAGCTGTCTAGATCAGTGATTCTTCATCCTGACTACTCTCTAGAATAAAATACACAGCTTTTAAAAAATACTTATTCCTTCCCTCCCAATTGAATCAGAATCTTTCCACAGATTATTTTAATGTGCAGCCAGGTTGGAAACTACCGGTCTGGAGTTGGACAACCTGAGTTACAACCCTTTGTCACCCTACCCTACCCCATCACACCCCTTCACATCAGGAAAAAAACAGTAATTAATATTTAAAGTGAGTAAAATGTCAGACAAAAATTAGAATGTACTGGAAAGCCTATACATTGGGTCAAATGTTTCTTTAGAGCAGTGGTTCTCAGTCCTGGATGCTATTAGGTACAGAATCATTTCTAGAATCGTGCAAGGATCACCAAGAACCTTGCTGCCTACAGCACTGGCATCACCCAGAAGCTTCGTAAAACGCAGGGTCCCAGGTCTGGCACCACCTACTGAATCAGCAGCTCTGGGAGGGGGGCCCATAAATCTGTGTTTTAACAAGTGCCTCCAGAGAATTCTGAGGCTCACTACAGTTTACGAACTGACCTACATTTTAAAAGATAATAATAACTAGATCTGGATCCTTTCTCACACTAACTGACTCTCTGGACAGTGATGCCTAAATCAATGAGGCCCGTTTGTCTTCTATGCTCTCCAGGAGATTCTAATGTGTTGCCAGCGAGGTAACAACTGGTAAATCACAACTAAAAGCTGATTGCAGAGGCATATTTACTCAGAATTAGTTATCCTAATTAGTGCTGTGCTGGCAAACGTTTTAACAACTGGACAGAGTCAGGGAAGCCCTGATTGTATTATTTGCAAGTTTCCTACCCCCACGCGCTGATTGCAAGCTGCTAAAGGAAGGTCATTGAACTGAGAATAGGGATGAGATATGCACAATCTACCCTCCAGAGCTGGCTCCAGCAGGCACTGCCCAAAATTGTTGTTGCCAAAATTGCTTTCAAAAGTACTTGATACAGTATCTCATGTTTGTTTTGTTGTGTTTGTCATTGACATTTGATCTTGACGGTTCAAAAATCCCTAAGAAATTCTTTTGGACTCCAGAAACCTCAAGAAACATCCTTATAATTCTGAAATTGATTTTCATTCTTACAAATCTTGAAATGTATATTTGTAGTTCAAAAACCAAAATATATAACAGCCATCATTTATTGGCCACTTACACTTTTTTTGGTGATTGCTTTATTAATTCTCACAACAAAATCAAGAGGTATTACTTATTACTATTTAATAAGGGAAATCAGGGTCAGAAACGTCTAAAAAGTACCCAAAGCCATAGAGATACTGAGTGGCAGAGCCAGGATTAGGATCTGTGTTTGTCTACAGAGCTCATATTCTTTTTTTTTTTTTTTTCAGAGCCCGTAATTTTTTAGCATAATGCTTAAGTTGTGGCAAAAGAGATATTTTCAAGTAACCCCAGAAAGCTGATAAATCTATAGCAAGAAAGCTTGGGGTGTAAACCTGATTTAGAAATCTTTATAGCGGGCTGGTTTGATTCATCCATTTTGAAGAGATGGGGTGGAGTGGGGGTCGGGGAGCTGGGCGTCCGTCTGCTGACGGTGTCCGAACCAAGAAGCGGGGGAGCTTGAGAAGCCAGCGACTCCGGGTTCTCCGGCGCTGGGCACTCCGCGGGGCGAAGGAGGGGAGGCGGGCGCGGGGCGGGGCGCGGTGACCTCCGCCGAGCGCCAGGGCTGGGGAGTCCTGGTCTTTGCCTCTTGGTCCTGATTCGCCTGTCAGAAATAGAAAGGTCGTTGATTAGTCACAGTTTCAGGAATCTGATGATGCTGATGAAGATACGGGAGAGATTCAGGCCATCCAGCTAAGAAAGTTCGATCATCTCCTGAAGAAGCTAAAAATAAGAGGCGATCTGGAAAGAGTTCACAGGAAGATAGTGAAGACTCAGAAGAAGATGTGAAGACCAACAAGGATGATTCTCACTCAGCAGAGGACAGTAAAGATGAAAAAGACATAAAAATGTGCACCAGCAATGGCAGGCAGACTCTAAAGCAGCTTCTGAACAGAGAGAGATTCTCTCAAAGATGTGGGCAGTGAAGAACAAGAAAATGAAAAAGGAGATAAATGATAGGTGATAGATAGATAGATAGATAGATAGATAGATAGATAGATAGATAGATAGATAGATAGATAGATAAATAGATTCCAGGAGATAGAAACTCTTCAGCAGCAATGAAGATTTTTTTAACGGAAGAAAATGGAAGATTTTCTAATGGAAGTGTCTATGGCAGTTCAAAAAAGAAAGACAAAAAGAAGGTTAAGAAGTCCAAACCTGAGAGAAAAAAGTGCCCACACCCAGGCTAAAGGCTACAGTGACCCAAGTGCTGTGGAAGGCAAAGGGGAAACGCGTCTCCCCACAGCTTCCAAGTCCTCAGAAGGAAAAGACCTTCCCCCAACGGAGAAGAGGAGGAACCAGAGAGCACTCCAGAAAAGAAAGTATCCACAAGCCCTGTGGCTGAGAAATCTGCAGATGAAGTCCAGTCCGGGGAGGATTAAAAGTGGAGGTAGTTTAGGAGAGAATTTATTTAAAAATAAAAAAAGAGGAAAAACAAAAAAGGGGGAAGAGAAAAGCTGCATGTGATAAAAACATGGTTTTGGCTAAGGCTGGACTTATGGACTTTCAATGCTTTTTTTCCCCCCTCTTGTTGACAATAACATTTTCTCTCTTTTTAGAAAAATTTTTTAATTAAGAAAACCATTGTATGTTTAATTCACCTTTTGGTCTATTGGTCTCTCCTTTGCCACCACTCTCTCTTCCTTTGCTTTTTCAATGAAAGTCATGTCAAGTTAATCAGTAGATTGACTGATTCATCTTTTTACTTTTAATGGATGGTACACCACAGTTGTAAAGCAATAAGATTTGAGATGAACACTATGAAAATGTTGCTTTTTGCTAAACAGTAGCAAGTTGAGCAATAACCAAAAAACATAGAAGGGTTTTAGTTAAAAATGATTGTTTCTTTGTCTACTTGGATTTTTAAAAATATCAATTGTCCTCTGATACAAGTTTATTTTTTACCTTGGGGGCAGAGCAGGGAGTAGGTTACCTGACTTGCCTGAGGGTATAGGTGGTTGTTTTGTTTTGTTTTTTAATCTCTTCACTTGTTATCTTAAAGAGATTCAGAGCCAGTGATCCTTTTATTCTGCTCTAGTCTTTAAGGAATTTTAAAAAAAAGAATTAAAAAATAAAAATAAAAACAAGGGCTCCAAAACTTAAATCATGTTTAATTTCTTATTTTATTATCTAATGGTTCATGTTTTAAAATCTATATGTATTCTGTTTACCAAGGGTAAAAAAAGAAAAATCCTAGAATTTAAATGGCAAGCTCTATATATCACAGTGGATTTCTTCTCAAACTAACATTTAGGTATTAAGCATGTAAAATACCAGTTAATGTGAAACTCAATAATAAGAAGAAGAAGAAGAAGAAGTCTTTATAGCAACAAGATAGGAGCAGCCAAGCTTATAGCAGTTTATAAAAGGCTGTTACTTTGAATTATTCAGGTTATTCAGGATTTTAGAACTAGTATGCTTTAAAATTAATCTTCCTTTCCTTTATTTTTCATTAACATTGTACCTCCATTATTAAATGTATATAAGTAAATTCCATATATTATCTGTAAATAACCACTTATTATTTGTGTTATGTGTATATATAGAAAGATTTTTGAACTGTGAATGGCTCATACTATCTCAAGCATATTTCTATACCCTGTAGTACCTAGTAAACTAGACACATAGAAGAGTCAATAGAAGTTCATGAAAGATGGAATTGACATCTTGATGTAATGAATGAGTGAATCCAAACAGCTGTTTTAAATCCCTTCTGAAACAAGATAGAATTTAATAACATTTTTTTTAAAAACCCGTTCAAATAAAAAGAGACTTATTCTCTAATGAATTCTTAGTTTTTGTTTAGTGGAAACTTAAGGAAAGTAAGAATTAAGTAATACCAAATGACTTCCTGGCCCTTTTTATCGTCCTTATCTTCCTAAGATTACTTCCTTTTCATATACTACTTTTTCTACTTCCATAATCATAAAATATTTATACAGTATCATCAGATTAAAATTTACTGACAACAATACAAAGATGTCCAGAAAACTACATGGCATTGCCTTTATTCTGTAGCACTCACAGAATGTGACCTGGTGAATACGTGGTCCATTAAAAATTTAAAGGTTGTATATTTTCACACCATTGGGAAAGTCAACACCAACAGAAGCAATGTTAATTGTATATACATTTTTCTAAGGGTAATCTAACAAAAATATTTCTCCTATTAATTGCTGAATCTTTCATCTATGATGAAATAAAAAGGAGGAAGAGAAGTATTTTACAGTGGCAAGTGGAATTCTTAGTTTAACTCCAGACAAAAGTTTTCATACCTGAACAAAGGATTGCCCAGCATGTAGCACTTGACAGCAGTTATGAAAAGTGGAGGTAGATCTCTATTTTGTGAAGTTACTTTTCCATATATTGTGTATCAGAAATGTTAACAAAGGAATGGAAAATTTTAAACTCCAAGAATTAAGAAGAATCAAGGTTTGGAGAGCCTTCTGGTTCAAAATTTTTGCTACTGGTGTTGACTTTCTTGATGCTAAGTAAATATAAGACCTTTCATTTTTAATAGATCTCATGTTCAACAGTTCACCGTCTATGTTTCAAAAGCAACCTATGTTTCTGAAGAACATAAAACCACGGTGGCCTTGGAGCACTGCAATCTCACTTGTGGATCTTCGCATGGTACTCATTTAAGAACAGATTGTCCTAAACAGCAAAGTTTGACAGCCTTGGCAACTTCCTGGATATGACTTTTAGACATTTTTATTTGTTAAAGATAACTGGTTTACTCAAAAAGATGAGATTATAGGATTTAAGGCAAATCATGTAATGCTTTGGTGACTCAGGTTCCTATACAAATGAAGAGACTGCTCCCAGTTTGACCTCCTTTCTCCTTTTAGAAATTAAAACAAAAAAAGTCTAAGGCACTGTTTATAATTATGGGGACCATATAATATATCATTTAAACATGACATTTTTTAGACTGAACGAGACTGTTAATAATTATGCTAGGAAAACAGGCATAAACCAGGACAATCTAGGATGAATCGGGACATATGGTCACCTTTTCTGTGGTCAGGAGAGGATGAGAAACACTAAGACACATCTAGCTGCTTTGTTAAGGTTTGCTCTAAAACGAAACAATGAAGAATACAGCACATTGGCTTGAAGAATTCAGCCCCTTTCAGCAACTCACAGCAGCTTGTAGCCCAGTGCCTTCGATCCCAAAGCCAAATCACTGTCTGTTCATCTTACAACTCTGAGCGCTCCCAATGAAAGGACCATTGTCTCTACTTCTTTTTTCTAATTTATTAATACAAGCATTAAAATTGGTCTGCTCTGTCACACAACTCCAGGGTCACAACAAAAGAATACAATGTAAATGATGCCTCTTAGAGTTATTATGTCCTTCTAACAGACAATAACACAGATTTAGAAAAAAAGAGAAACTCACAAGAAATTGACTAGCTGATTTCTGGCCACGCTGTGTTTTCTTAATCAGCGAATAGTGATGATTTCCCTGCTCTCTCCCCACTCTTGTTTTATTGTACAGCGACTCCAGTCAGCTCCAACAGCTTCACAACCAAGTCTTACTGGAACAACAGCAGTTGCAAAATTCATCTCCTTCATCTCCTAAGGAGTTTCCTTTCAACATGAGTGTCTTGAACTCCACTGCTCCCCCAGTGGTGACAACGTCCAGCAAGCACGTGAAGTCTCCCTCATCACAGACGTTCACCTTGGCCCGGCCAAAGCATTTCTTCCCCTCCACGAACACCACCTCATCAGCCATGTCCCGTTCCAGCTCTCCAGTGTTCACCCTGAGCAGCCCTCCTCAAACCATTCAGAGGACAGTGAGCAAAGAAAACCTCTTAGTATCTCACCCCTTCGTGCAAACCAAATCTCTAGGAGCAGTTTCTGTTCAAAACGAGCCACCCCCTCCAGGTCCCACAGAGCCAGCGCAACTGCCCCTTACATTTTCCATCCCCAGCGGAAGCCAGTTTCAGCCCCGTTGTGTGTCCCCAGCTCCTGTCTCTCCCACCAGCCGCATTCAGAACCCAGTGGCTTTCCTCAGCTCTGTCCTGCCTTCTCTCCCTGCCGTCCCACCCACCAATTCCATGGGGCTGCCCAGAAGTGCACCATCCACGTAAGTGTCTTTGCAGTTTCTTGGTATAAAAAATGTCAGTTGACAAGGGACATGCACACAAAATAACTTGGTCTGAGACAGGACTCTCAGTTAGTGGACTCCTGAGTAATCCTCTCTCTCAGACACGAAATGGATATCGAACACCTTAGGACAAAGGGCATGATAACTTTAAATAATGTTTAGTAATTAAAATATTGAAAACACCTCTACAAATGCAGATTCTCTAGGCAGTGCTCAATTTTTGCACACAAGATGCCATCCGTAAGTGCTTGATGACTCCTGGTGTCGGTTGCCATTTCAACCACTCTGATTTCTAGGCCTTTCTACACTGACCAGTACTTTTCATGGGTGTGTCAGGTGTGACTTTATTTTGCAGGCCATCCCAAGGACTCATGAAGAAAAATACAAAGTCTCCCCTGCCAGTGAATGATGATTCCATTCGTGAAACTAAAAATGCAGTGATTCTAGACTTGGGGAAAAAAATGAATTTCAGTGATGTCAGATCAAACCAACAGGTAAGTTTGTTGGGTTCAGGTGGTTTATCAGAATTTCACTCTAAGGAAAATAATTTTGCTTAATTCAGTCCTTCTTTAAATGTTCAGTGAGGTCGTCAATGCAGTCTTGGAAGGTAGAGCACAGATTCACCAAGGGTCATGTAGTAAACTCCATACACATGGGTCCAAAGTTCTTGATTACCCCTGCCATTAACTCAGTTTACCTTGTCTACGAGAGTTTGCCCAAAACAGAATATGTTAAAAAAGGAGAGAGACTAAATAGTCTGTTGACCATTTGAACAGTCCTCAGCTCAGTTTTGGCATACACCATCACATCTTTGAGATATTTCAATATTTGAGCCTTGAGATGATCTAGATTTTGAGGAACTGGGTTCCAGGCTCTTTTATCTGACTCCTTCAATATAATGTCCCTGAGGTCTGCTCACCATTTCCTCTCAATTTTTACATTAGGTTGAAACATGTGAAATAGCCATTAGGCAATATCCTGTGGTTCAATCTGTACAAATCCTCACTTACCAATAAGTGTTTACACTGAAAGAGAAAGAGGAAAGACATATGTGGGCATCAAATAAAAGAAAGATAGTCAGTTTTCTTATTTGAGTCATTTATTTTTGCACTTATAAGGTTTTTTTTTTTTAATGCAGGTTTACACTTTAATAATCTAACTCTTGATTTATTTGCCAAGGTGGGAACTGATAAAATCTACTTTGAAATATAATGTGAAATTTCAATCAAAGCTATATGCCAGCCCTGGCCAGTGTGGCTCAGTTGGTTGAGTGTCATCCCATAATTAAAAGGTTGTGGGTTCGATTCCCCGTTAGGGCACATACCTACATTGCAGTTCAATCCCTGATTCACATGCCTGTGATCCTCAGTCCAGGTGCATATGGAAGGCAACCAATTGATGCTTCTCTTTTGCATCAATGTTTCCCTCCATTCTTCACTTTCTGAAAGTAATAAAAAGAAAGACTATATGCCAAATATTGTGGAATTTGTGGCATAAGTATTGGAAATAAGGCTGGAAATAAGGCTCCAGATCTTCTTGACCATATGCTGTTTTTCTTAGTGTTTCTGTCTCTTGTTTCCAGTGGACCACAGATATACAGTACTTTACAATTGTGTTATATGTCAGACAATTTTCACTGAGTGGGTCCTTTTGAAAATGTGTTGCTTAAAACCTTTCTAAAATTGACTTTAAATTATTGAATTGAAGCAGAGTATTTCAGCTTCTCATAATTGAGTATACTTATCATGTATTATTTCATCAAATTACATATATTTCTAGGAGGCGAATACCAAGACAACTATTCTTCTCTTTCATTTTCTAGATAAGGAAAACTAAGGCATGGTTGTCAAACTGTCAGTGGTGGAACTACAGCTAGAGCTCTGGTCTCTGGACACTCTCACCTTTTTCCTGAACTCTGTTGCCTTTTTTAGTTTTATGACAACAGTTACCTTCCAGCCCCATAAATGTTGCTCTGTCTAATGCAGATTTATTTTCCTATAATATTGTCATCTATTTGTGGTTGTTAATCCTTCTAAGTGTCACTGAAATCAGAGCTGTGGTCAGCCTATGTCATTTACAACTCAGAGAGGGAGCAATTAGAACCCTGTAAAAATGATACCAGGTCAGCACACAAGCTGTTTCGTTAGTCTGTAGGTAGATCCATGCTAATCCACTGCCCAACTCAGGAGAAAGTAGGGGTTTTCTCTTAATTACCTGAAATGAGAGCACATGTAAACATGAATTTCCATTAAGTTGAGTGCCAAAAACCCAGTAGAACTCTTTATTAAGTCTCCATCATGAGTTAGCATCAGGGCTAATAGTGGATACTAAGAGCAGTCTCAAAAACACCTCTTTGGCCTTGGCCAGATAGTTCAGTTGGCTAGAGCACTATCTTGATAGGCCAAGGTTCTGTTTTCGATCCCTATTCAGGGCACATACAGGAGCCCACCAATGAATGCATAAATAACTGGAACTGTAAGTGTCTCCCCCCATCACTCTCCCCTCTTCCTCTCTATCTCTCCAAAATCAAAATATTAAAAAAAATTTTTTTAATCACAGTATTCTTCATCTGAATATATGTGACATGCATCAGTGTTCCTCAGAGAATTATTTTAGTAGATTAGTCCTAGACTGCCTTCTATGCATTGGAATAATGAAAAACAGGCTGCATAAATGCAATTCAGGAAACTAAGGAGTGGTCTGAGATGGAATGCTTGCATTTGGTTGGTAGATGTTGATTCTGATGAAGTTTTGAGGAATAAGATGATGACTGTATTATAATGTTGTTTTATGCATTGCTGCCTTGGGAAATGATAGTGAAAATGTCATGAAGAACTGTCTAAAATGTATTGTGGCCCATTAGTAAAATTAAGAAGAAAATTTGCTTAGAAAAGTAGAGAACAATCATAAAGAAACACTTATATATTGATAGCCATCTACACCTTCAGTCTGGAGACACAGAAATCAAAATGATCTGTCTTCTCACTCCCATATTAGCTTACACATACGAGGGGAAAACAAGTGATTTCTTTTAAAGAGTATGCATTTGTTTTGGTTTGTTTGTTTTGTTTCTGTTCTTACTTTGAAAACTTTTAAATCTGGAAAGCTGGACTCTCTTGCCCTATTTGATTCCTAAGCAAATGAAGAATAATAACTGTATTAGAATATTTGTGTAGTCTCATCACTACATTATGCTAAGCATGTAAATAAATCAGAAGTCTAACTTCTAGATTATTTTCTTTAGAAAATGGGTTTTCTTTGATATATCTACCACCTTTATTTCTCTGCTGTAATATTCCAGCATTTTCCCCTCTAACTTGTTTTATATAACATTTCTAAGTATCAATTAACATTTGCCTCTTGGTTCTTGGAACTTTTTGCAATACAAGGGTGCTATCAAATGTTCTTATGTATTCCTTCAGATATACATACTTATTAAAATGTTTAGCTCTCTAAAGTGACAACAAAGTTTCTGCAGCTTGGGGATAAGCCAAGAGAGAAGTGCCCGATTTCAAGGTTTGGCTGCATCATTTCTTATTTTGAAGGGTATCATTCACCACCAGTGGATCCTCACTGAACAGCAATAAAACTTAAATGCTTTAGGGCTGCAGGATGAACCTGAGAGTAAAAGAAATCCAGGATCAGAATATGTAATGGAGCCCTCACACCAGTGATTCTAATTCACACATGACTTGGCATGATGTTCTGAACCCCGTAAATATTTATTGACTGTTCATTTGTAAATCTACACACACATTTAATGTCTCATTTAAACTTCCCTCCTTGACCTCATTTCTCTTGAAAACTTCCCATTTCTTCATTCTGCTCCCTTCTCTCTTTTTTTAAAAAAAAAGAGAAATGAGTTTTTCAAGTATATGTTAAAGAAAGAATAAAAGAATTTAGAAAGATTTAAGAAAGAAAGAGAAGAAGAAGAGAGAAAGAAAGAAAGAAAGAAAGAAAGAAAGAAAGAAAGAAAGAAAGAAAGAAAGAAATGCTTCTTTAAAACTCTGCAGTTCCTAGATACTCCCTTGCATGACAAGAAAAAAAGAGTACCTAATTCTTGCTCTGCCTTTTGTTCTCCTAATCTTCTCTGAGCTGCTTAATCATTTCCTCTATTTGAATCTTACCTTTTTCATCTGTTAGCATGAATTCTTCATAAAAATCCTCTCTTGTGAGCAGTCTTGTCATCCATTCCTTTTCTAATAAAAATTCCACATAGCCATTGGCTTTAGGTTGCCTGCCTTGGGAACCGTAGGACCCTGAAGTGAAGAAATACCTGATGTCATCTGCCCTGGGCCTGCCCGTGATACACCAATCACAAGCTCCCTGGGAGCTGGAATTGGGGGGTGTCTTGCTCATTGTTGTACCCCTGTTATGTCTGGCACAGAGTAGGCTCTCTGTGAATATTTACTGAACTAATATACAACAATGGAATTTACACTAGTTTCAGATAGGATAACAAAACTCTCGACCAAGTAGAAAATTTTGGATTTGTTTCCTAGAAAATATCTCATTTGACTATCTAGACTATGATTATACATAATTGTGGATACTACTCACTGTGATAGCAGTGTATTTTAACCAACTGATTAAAAAGATGAAAACTTTAAAAAACACACTGAAATTACACACAGAAAAAAAAAGATGAAATTAAGCAAAACTGGTGTTAAATAAACACTTAAGTATAAATAAATCTCTATATCTTTTAATAATTATTTATTCTTAGGGAAAATTTGAATTTAAAGTATTTTTATGCAACCTTTTTGAAAGTAGAGTCTCTGATTTACAGAACATTGTATCTCCAGTGCCTGTCATAGTATTTAGCACATAGTAAGTGCTTGCTAAGAACTTGGCATCAGGGACAGGAAGTAAGCTATGAAACCTGGTCATCTTTATTGAAGGTAGCATATAATTATTAGATAAATTGTAAAAGAAGGCATCCTTTGTGTAGGTTAACCTCCAAGTTTTCTCTTCTGACCATGCTGTGGATCACCCTGAAACAAAAAATTGTACTTTCTCTAACACATAAGACTTTCTTAAATGAACATTGTACCCAGAGTTGCTTGGAGCCCTTGAGCAGGCTCCTCCAGCTGGTTTGATCCCATTTGATTATTTGCCTCTAAAGTCCAGACTCAGAGCCTGGAGTAGAGGGAGTCGGCATGAGCTCAAGGCAGTGAGTGTCCGATGATGGCCCATGTTTGGGGAATCCAGAGCCTCAGCAATGTCATCCATATCTGACTGGGCTGTATCATTACATTGTGGTTTTCAACAGAAGGAAAGCACTCTCCACCAGTATGCCATTTTGAAGAAAAATTCTGCAGATATGTCCTAAAAATCAAATGTTTGAAGTTGTCAAATTAATCAGCTTTAAGATGATTATCTTTAAAGAAAATAAAAGGAACTATGTTTTGAAATTGCATGGTCTTCTGAAAAAAAATTGTTTAGCTTTTTGTTTCATAGAGCAACTGAAATTCTGTGAAATTTATTTTCATTT